CATAGATCCTTGATCATCAGGTATCAATAAAGTCTTTGATTCACACACTGACGAAACATTTTTGGGTGCGACAATGCACGGACACCACCACAACGCAGCTTCATCACGCAAGCTGTGTCCCAAGGTATCCCTTCGGATACAATTAACAATATCCGAGGCGAATCTCACGATACGCTTCGGCCCTTAGTGTGCCGCAAAGGCTGCTCAAATGAGAAGGTGTCGGCCCGCCTAAGAATTTGGCACACTGCACTCACATGTGCTTACTTAGATCACCCTCGGCTTCACTGTCAGCCGTGCGATCGTCCACTTTCGGTTAAACATATTATTTACTGAGTGCACCCAACAAGTACAGCATCTCAACAATATGAAACCTATTACCGTAGGGACGACATCCAATTATCTTAACAACAACATTCTTGGTGATGCTGTCCTCATTTTGTTGACCATCTTTCCGACTTTCTCAGTTTGCTAGCCTGTGCCGTAAAAAGTCATTCAAAGTCAAATCTTTTTAGGCTCACTTATGAACTACACTTTTTATTCGAAAGCAAATTTTCCATGTGAGAAGTCGTCCGAACAGGCAAAGCGCCTCGGAACAAACGAAACGCGAAAAAAGGACAAATTTCATCATTTTTCTGCCATGTTGTGTGCTGGCAGGAGCTGGCATTGTGATCCGTACTACCACAACTAAGGCATTTGTAAGGGTCCGTGCAGGCAGATTCCTCATAAGGGGTCTCATCGCACTTACAGCATCTGGTGCTCCGTTTGCATTGCTTGCTGACGTGTTGAAGCCTTTAAAATTGGAATAATCCGAGTGGTTTTTATATGAATACCCTGAGTTCATGGCGAATGTATCCAGCCGTGGACCGTCTTTGGAAGTCGGGATAGCCGCAAAGGCCAAAACAAGCAGGCTGGTGTCCCGATGCTGGCCATCTCGAAACGTGGTCACCCGTCGGAGATGGCGGATATTTTCAGCTCTCAGCTCCAACAAAATCTCTCCGTCATGTCACAACGCTCAGGTGCGATGGCAGTGCCTGTCGTGACATTTCTGCAAAGGGAGTGTACATTTTTACGCTGTTGCCGCAAGTTTCGTTGGTTTGGGGCAGAGCTTCGGCTTGAGCACCGGTGGTCGTGGTTCGGGGCAGAGCCTCGGGTTGAGCGCCGGTGGTCGTGGTTTAGGGCAGAGCCTCGGTTTGAGCACCGGTGGTCGTGGTTTGGGGCAGAGCCTCGGCTTGAGCACCGGCGGTCGTTTTGATAATCAGAGATCATTGGCTGGCGCCCGTCATCATTACATGGACCACATAATTTGAATTTATTTTGATGGCCAAGGGGCGCTTATTTCTTTTGAAGCAAACGTTCCCGTCACAAGTCAACATGACCTCTGAGGGGATCAGAAGAGAGCTCAGAGGTCTGGCAATCACCGGTCATGTCCAGTGAGGGCCGGTGTCAGAGGTCTGGCAATCACCGGTCATGTCCAGTGAGGGCCGGTGTCAGAGGTCTGGCAATTACCGGTCACGTCCAGTGGGGGGCCGGCGTCAGAGCGAGCACGAGTGGTCGAAGGCGAACGAGGATCGTTACCAGGAGCGTTGGACCGACTTGGGCACTGTCCAGACACCGTGACAAAATTGTGTGAACCAATGCAATTGACTGGTGCGGGCAGAGGTCATCCGATAAAGCGGCAGCCAAGGTCATCAGATAAAGCGTCAGCCAAGGTCATCCGATAAAGCGGCAGCCAAAGGTCATCAGATAAAGCGGCAGCCAAAGGTCATCCGATAAAGCGGCAGCCAAAGGTCATCAGATAAAGCGGCAGCCAAAGGTCATCCGATAAAGCGGCAGCCAAAGGTCATCAGATAAAGCGGCAGCCAAAGGTCATCCGATAAAGCGGCAGCCAAAGGTCATCAGATAAAGCGTCAGCCAAAGCGGGCTAGCATCACTTCTGTCGCCTATATCCAAGGAAGTATCAATGCCAGAGGCTGAGTTCGAATCCGTGTCAGTATCTTCGTTAGACTTACCACGCTTCCCCCATAACGTGAGCGGGAAAACGCCAATATAAACGAAGTTAAAAGAGGTGTGCCTGCAAGGAGCGCGATCCGAAAAGACACAATAACGACGATGAGCTGAAAACGAACTCCTTGGCTGACAGCCTCCGATGGGAAAAAAACACTAGCCCGAAAATGTCTGCTATTCGAACACAAATCACGTTTTGCTACATAATACAGGAAATTGGTCAGAGAGGGACAACTTATGATGGAGATAAGACTGGGAATCCAACACCTTGAACAGCGTCATAACCGAGCATGTCATGGACAGTGTACTTTTTGAACCCGTCAAAGAATTTTCAGTAACAACACGAAAGGGCCAAAATACAATACAAGGATACAGTTCAGCTCCTCAAAGATGCCCCAGCAACACAACGACACCTCTCGACAAGTTGAAGTACTGTAAGTGAGTAAGCCCGTCCGCTACAGTGACAGTGACACGGTCATGCTGGCAACGACATGGCGACATGGATGTATTCCATGGCGTTATATAGTCAATGGTGTATTGAGCTGTATATTTACTGAAAAGTGAAACTTTGTTGCCTAGAATGAGCTGACTTCGTCGCACATGATGTTGACCTCAATATATTCAAATATGGACATCTTCAAACCCATGTTGTTGTCCTGGTTGGGTCTGGCCTGTTCTTTTTTAGCACGGTCTGCTTTGCAAGGACGCGATGCCGAAACTTACTCTCGCAAAACAGTCCCAAAAATCTGTATTCATGGAGCTACGTAAAACCGTAAAACCGTGAAGAACGGAGTTCTCCACTTTTGAACCAGCGTGACGAAGTAGCACCAAGGTACATCGAAGATTACCTAGCAGAAGTAGTAATTGATGTATAATGCTGTCAACATGATCCCGAATATTTACTGCTATACTGTCGGGTTTGGGGATGAAAGGGATTTACTGTCTCCTTACGCTGCGGAAGGTGACAGAACCAAGGAAGTCGGCGAGTCAAAATCCGGTCATTTTTCAAGGAAATAGACCTTTTGCTCCATTTGTCGGGCATTTCATATGACTTGACTTTTATAACTTCACTGGTGAATGCTTGCGTGCCGCGCTCATCTGCTGACGTTCATTTGTGATGACTGTGTGCAAACACCTTGATGTAAGTGCGGGTTTATTGGCAGCCTAAACCGTGGGGTCAAGGTTCCGCCGAAAGGTCACGCGACCAGTCACGGGTTTGAAGTCTGACACATTGATTTAATCGGTCCTTCTTAGGCAAGCCAACTAATACGCATCAATAAGTTGTGTCTTACACTCAGAACGCAGGCTTACCGGCAAAGTGTCGCGGAGACCCAGCGGCATCCGGCGCTCTCTTCCAGCACAGCCGTATCGGCCACAGAGCGTCCACTGACCACTCTCAGTCTCTCGGGAGAGCCTCTGGAGACCGCGCTCACTTCCAGCGCAGCCGCATCGGCCCCAGAGCGTCCACTGACTACTCTCAGTCTCTCGGGGGAGCCTCTGGAGATCAGTCTCAGTCTCTCATGAGAGTGGAGATCAACTTCAGGTGGGAGAGTCTTGGAAAATCGATCTCAGCCTGGATCAGTCTTTCTGGGGGGCTACGTTTTGGTTCCACGCGTAAAAGGTCGGTTGCATGCCATAACTTTCAAGTAGGCAATTCGTTGCTCCAACTCTTTAAAACAGCATGTTTTGTCTTCCGCTATAACCAATGTGGGAGGTATCGAGGTTTGGAATCAGCTACAATGGGATGTTCTCCATTATAACCGGCGCCAGGGGCGGGGTGAATCAAGTATCCAGCACTGACCAGTCTGGAACCTTCGGCATCCTGATACGTGGCTTCTCTTGCACGCTGTGCTTACATATAAGGAATTAGGAGCGCATTGGTGCCATGACTCGCTTTAGCACGTCCACATAACTGCGCATGACTTGTATGCACTTATACAGCCACCTATTGCATTCCTTTGAGAAAAAGAGCGGCAGGCGACCCTCCGCCCTATTCCGTACTTGCGCGTCACCAGCGCAACACCAGGTGGTGATATTCCGCCCGATTCCGTACTTGCGCGTCACCAGCGCAACACCAGGTGGTGATACCGATCTACCATCACTGTTTCCAGGCGTGCCATGTTTCCAGCTGGGATATATTGGACAGGATACGAATATGAACAGCTTATTTACAACAACATAATAGCAGCACATGAACCCCGCCCGGCCTCCAACGTCCCCACCCCAGCAGTATTCTCAGAAGCGCCTGCAGTCTGGCTAAGACGCACTCTTACCGCACATTCTTCATCAGGTCTTGACGTCATTACGAAAGCCTACCGCATTTCCCGCGTAACACGGCTGAGAGCCTGCTTTCGTGGAAAAAGCCCAAACAATCGCTCTTAAAGGTGCTTAACATCGTATGATACAGCCACGTTAGCTGACAGGGCCACAGGTAACAGTTTTAACGTTTTGAACTTGACCAGAAATGGAAATCACATCACGCCTTCTCCTGCCCGTTCACCATCCGAGATCACGCCTCCTCCTGCCCACCACCGCCCGAGATCCCACCTCCTCCTGCCCGTCACCGTCCGAGACCACGTCTCCTCCCGTCCGTTCACCACACGAGATCTCGCCTGTTCCTGTCCGTCACCATCCGAGATCACGCCTCCTGCCGCCCGTTCACTATCCGAGATCACGCCTCCTCCTGCCCACCGCCGTCCGAGATCACACCTCCTCCTGCCCGTTCACCATCCGAGATCACGCCTCCCCCTGCCCGGTCACCATCCAAGATCATATCCTATAGTGGGTTTCTTGGGCACCCATTAAGCGACAGATTTTTTCCAACACAGGTTACATATTTCTGTGCGTATATTCACCAAATCATCCTAGTCCGTAAAACTGAATCGCAACGCGTGGAGACACTCAGCGCAGCGGCCATCCTCCGGCGAACAGAAGTCATTGCGACGCTGAGAGGCATCCCACTGCCGTCAGACTGGCACGACCGTACACAGGCCTTAGCGTTCCGCTCCGCGAAGCCGGCGCGGGCACGTCAACGACGCCACTCGGTTACTATGATGTCATCGAATATCAGCAGGGGCTGATGGTAGGTGGGCATGCTGACGTCATCTGAAGAGACACACCGTCGATGGGAATGTCCTCGTTGGTAGGTGCCGACGCCATCAGGAGTTGGTGACATCATCAATACGGACTGACGTCAACATCGACAGCCATACTCTCGAAACCGCACATGTCGTTGCCGCGCTCGATCCTGCGAATGCGGCGAACGGTCACGGTACTGAAGGTTGGCAGGTCGCCGCTAGATGTCACTATCGGCACCTTGAGTGGCTTCAGTTTCAGGCAACAACAGTGGAATATAAAAGGAAGCACAGCCTGACATATAACAGCTCACACGGTTACATAAGAACATGGTACTAGAAAAACACCATATAAATCAAAACTGGAAATGCCCAATGATGAAACGAAAATGGGGCACTGGAACTCTTGACAAGCTACAACGAAAACCTTCACAAGCGAGACTGACTACTCCACGGACCCATTCGCTGAACGCGGAGTGTGTTCCCGGCCGGTTCATCGTACCGGAAGAAAGCCCTTCTCATCCCACCCTTCTCTCTAGGAGTTCTTGACAATCCAGTACTTTTTGCCGTCCTCTACTACTCTCTCTACTCCGTACTCTCCATACGCCACGACCAGGGCCGCGGGATTGGTCAGCTGGCAAGGTGAAACGAGTCAGCAGGGTGCGTTGGGCGACGTGATTGGTCACTTTTGTCAGGTGGACATCAGGTTTTAGGCGCGCAACAAGACATCTTTGAACTCAGCTTTGCCCGCGCCAGAAGCCACCGAAGGTCAATATAAAGATAAAGACCGAATCTCGCTGGCTACAAGCTTTTGGAGTGAGGCGAGAGAATTGGCGAACGAAGCCTTTCGCCTATGGGCGTCATGCGACGAGTCAACCGCTGACACCACGTTACGACACAGGCAAGCAACGACACACTGACTCAAAACCTGAACAGAAAACAACACAATCTACCTCCAGGAGATCAAAGCCGAACTTCCTGGTCCTCACGACGTGGCGATAGATGCCGCCCGAGTAGTCCATGAAGTCTGGATAAACCTCGAATCCGGCCGGAAGCGGCCCTTCTCCACCAGCGTGCGCATCATCTCTAGCTCACTGCAGCCGCCAAAGAATCCTACCGGGTCCAGGACAACCGTCAGTCTACCAGCACGCCAAGAGAGTGTGCATCATCTTCAGCTAGCTGTGGCAGCCGAAAGGCCTTCTATCAGATCCAGTGTCATTTGAAAACTGCTCCGGCGAACGTGACCCGGCGGGTGTGGTACTTCCTTCTCTCCCAGACCCCATCTCACTGCCGACGTAGCGGAACGCGTAGGTGAAGATACGGTGGCAGCCGGGGTCGGTGGTGCACTGCTTGGTGTCTGTGCCCTTGTAAGGGTTACACGACTCCATGACCATGCCGTAGTCCTGCCAGGAGAAGATCGTCCAGAAAGAGCATCAAACAGCCGGGCTGAACAGCCGCCAGCAGGGCTTGCTCCAGTCACTGGCGTTAGCAGGGACCACTGCTACCTCCTCTACCCTTTATAGGCGGCCAGAGCAGGCGAGTGGTCTATGCCACAAGCCACTACGGCTGGGCCGGCGTCTTACTCGTCACGCTCTCGCTGGGGACTCTGCACCAACAGCAGGGGTGCCTGATGGAGTGTCGGATGCAACGCAGCTCTTCGTCAGAGAGTAGAAAAAGACCAGATTGATAAGTGATAGAGCAGACCTCATAAGGTGCCGCACAGAGCAAAGCACTTAAACCAAGCGCTTTGATCTGAACTAATCACTCTCCGCCAAGCGAGCTATCGCTCACTGGGCACGGAATAGAGGAGAGGGCACTGGCAATGCCACACGGTAAATCCCTTTCTGACCATGCCCTTCAGGGCAGAGTTTACTGACGATAGCAGACGCGGAGCATGTCTTGGCGAGCTGCGTGGTACCCACTGACCACACCCTACGTCATGATCACAGACAATCCAGATCCTAGGTCTATGTGCCCTTGACACTGACCATGCCGTACTTCCCGGCGATCAGGTAGCGGAAGCCGCCGGCGCAGCCCTGGCTGTACTGGTTGCAGCTGACGATGTCTTGCGGTGAGAACACAGGCTGCATGGTGTTGCTGGTGAGGATGCGCACGCGCGGCTCCAGCGCCGCTATTGAGGCGAACGCGTAGCACGAGCCGCACGCTCCCTGGTTCCTGCGGAAGGAGACACGGGCTCCATCAGCAACGGTCATGGCCTGCCGGGACCAGGGGAAGAGGAGAGTCTTGCCAGGGCGGATGGCACGCGCTACACTTGACATCTGCTGACGGCAAGGTATTACGCGAGCGCCGGTGGCTAAAACTGAGAGGATGCTTATGGGGTATATCGCTGGATTCATAGGCGGCATCGCACGGTTTCAGGGAACGCTGTAGAAAAAGCAACAGGCTACAAGCATACTCATTGTGCCTCAGATAAAAGCTTCACCACCAACAACTTGACCGATAAGACAAAAAGTCCTATTGAAGAATCTCACCAATGTCCGGACCATGTTTCATCGGCAGCGACGTGCCAATGACAGCATGGTAACCATGGAAACCGTGACAACGAGTCTCCATGAAGTCTCCAGTCTTCAGTCAGCCACTTACCACAAGCCCGTGGTTTGTGGCAGGGAAAAGGCGGATCGCGGACGGGATGCCGGCGGATGTTACATAACTGGATTCGACAGCTTTAAGCGAGTGCATTAACAACGAACGCCAGGAATCATTCATCCCCGCCCGTAGCAGCGCGCTGCCGAGTCACGTTTTTGTGCGACAGGACTGTTTCATGCTGTTTGTGCATGCTGGCGTGTTATGGTGACGTCACTCACCACTTTCCGTTGTTTTTGACAAACCGTTTCATTTTTCAGACCAGCGACATATCAAGGTCACGTATGCATGTAGAGCGCAGTGTCCGGAGCTTAGGTGTTCCTTGGTGGTTTTAACCCCAAGGCACTTTGTTCTCCACAAATATGCACTAAAAAAAACTGTAAAAACATTGTTCTCTGTCATCGACGCCTGATTAAGGCAAGCTATTCCTGAAACTTCGACAGCATCACGTGCCACAGTCACGACTAAACGAGGGATACTGCTTCCGGGTTACAGTCGAATCTCTCTAACTTATCACACACAATCTTTCCTTGCAATGCACTCAGTGCCCAGGTCCGCTGCTGTTCACCAGCACACGGTCAATCCACCTACCCAACAACAACAACGACACTGATGCCCTCGGGCACCGGGCCCCAGCCCGCACTCAAAACAACAGCGTCTCTTGACGGCCCAGGAGAAGCGCAGAGAACATCTCGTATACTTCACGATTTAACGCTTCCGTATTGCACGCATACATCATTGTAACAAAATAAAAATTAATACGAAAGTATATGATGTCACACTAAAATGTACTTCTATATTTAGGATGAAGTCATCAGATATTGATTAAAAGTTATTTTTTATTAATTTTCAAAAGTAACATTATTCAAATTGCGTTTGAAACTCTCAGAAATAAACCTTGTGTAGAAGGTATAATGATGACGTCAAACACCATCCCAAACATTCGCTTGGGCACGCGGAAAACCACGGCTACGCGGGTCTCCGGCTCGGGGGGAGGATTCAGCATAGGAAGGGAAGACATATTCTCCACCAAGAAATACGAGCTGAATACGTGATGAAAATGCATAAAAGGGCTGTTCAGTGCATTAGCGATGAACATAAGTCACACAGATAAGAGAGTAGTATTAGCCTTATTCCTCGGAATAACCAGGAGAATGGAGATATAGTTTGGTTGATATTTCGGCAACATGCCTTCCTCGAAACGATAGCGGAAGATCTTATTGCAAGCTAGCATGCTATCCAACTAACTGAGAAACTACACACCTGCTACGAGCGGGGATCACTTCTGCTATTGTTTCGAGAAAGGCGTGCTCCGAAATATCAACCTCAACATATTTCCATCCTCCTGGTATTTCCGAGGAATAAGGCTAGTACTACTGTCTTATCTATGCATAAAAGGGTCATTACGAAACATGGATTTTTTTCTATCGACCTACAGAGCGTCGCCACAGAATCATAATCTGAGTATAAAGCTAAAGCGGGGTTTCCTGTTCTCCTTTGAGCAGAACTTTTAGTCTTAGAGTTATATAATCATCTACGTTTTTGAGATCTACCGACTTTTAGCCGGGTTCTACAAATGAATATCTGTTACAACATCATTAAGGTCCTAGAAAGCAATACCAAAACCGATAAACAACTCACAGCGGCTCCATCGTCGAAGACTGCTATCGCGTGCGCGCCATTTATGTAGCTTACCGACCTTTTCTGGAGGATCCGCGCGCGGAGCGGTGATAGCACGACTGGTTGGTGGTGTAGATAAGGGCAATATATAAATTCGGCTCGTTGTCATACACTGGGAAAAGTACTGCATCAGACTTAACCCTGGTGAGTAGATACAGCGATGCTAACTTTGTGCGTCTGGATTGCTTTGTGAGGAGGAAATTATTCCTACGCCTCTGCTGCACTGGCCTCCGAGCCCTGATCACGCTGCAGCCTGACGTCCCAGGCGGTGTAGTTTTATACATAAAATTGTGAAGTGGGTGCACAGAAAAATATTTTATCCCAAATAAATGGTGCAAACCATGTTCTCCCTGATTTTGACCAAGTTTTTGGTAAAAAAAACCAAGTTTTTGGTTTTTGACATCCTATCCATCTAAATGGGAAACTACACACCTGGTCCCAAATGAAGTATATCTAGGTCAGAAAAAGCGTTTGCAGGTATCAAATTGCCCCCAGAACCTTTCCCTGGGGTGAAAAATATTGCATCTTGGCTAGAATGTACCTGTGCTAACTACTATGTAATATAGTTAGTGCAGCTAACTATATTACATGGTTATCTATATTACATGCTCCTAATATATACCACATGCTCCTAATATATACCACCTGCTCCTAATATATACCACATGCTCCTAATATATACCACATGCTCCTATCTATATCGTGGCTTGCATGCCATTTCAATCATAAGCTTGTCATAATGTGCTGTGGGGAATGGTGCAACAGGTGCACGACATTTAAGCATTGGTTTCTGTCAGCCTTAATTGGGACTGACACCTTTACAACAGAATCATCAATATTAACAACTTGCATTAGCTCCATAGTTTCCAGAAATGCAATAGGTGTAAACATAGACTTAGGAAGGAAGCACTTTCTTAGGAAGCTATGAAAGTTGAGAATTGCAAGCAGCCAATCTCTAATGGTCTTTGGCAATCACTGAGACCAGCTGGAACATGACGTTTACTGTCATCTGCTGCTAAAGAATTTCCTTTAGTGCCAGCTGTGAACACCGTGCAAATTCACCTAGGTTATTTTGTTCTCACTACAAGCCATGATTTTAAAACTTTTGTTCCCTCCCCAAGAGCAAAAACCAAATTTCAGATTCTGGTAGAGCGTCAGCTGCTGTCAAACAATCATCATCATCATCATCCCGCACTCGCGCAACTAAGCACCAGCCAGCAGCTGAAGGAAGCTGAACGTGTCGTAGCATGGGAGCTGGCCCGTGCGGGGCCGCTCCGCCCGTCGCTAAGCACCGCGGGGGTGACCTCTGCGTGCTGGTGGCATGCGAGCTTGGTTTACGCCGGCCGGCGCCCGGCCGGGCCGCGTTATCGCGGTGAGGCCCGTCGCAGCGGAGCCGCCGAGCACCCGACAGACGCCGTAACTTTCGGAGGATTTGACGATGGACATACATAAGAGTGCGACGATCTTTCCCAAACTGGCCCCGAAGCTGTGCTTGTGTTTGACCTGCGGTTACCGACAAGGACATGTCTCTGCCGCGTCACCCACATGAGCTCACCGCACAAACAGGGGTCGGGCTGCAATGCCAGCGGACGCGGCCACGCCTTACGTAACGTCCAAAACGTTACGAAAGCATGGATCCATTGTTCAGTTCTGGGCAAGGCGCCAAAAAGAGCTGCGCTAAGCTGAACGGCAGCCGTCTGGGCGAAATGAGAAGTCGAACGGGAGCCTGGCCCTGATGGACGTCTGTGCACGGAGCCTTAACGGTGTACTCGTGGGCTGTTCACTTGCGCCTCTGCGCCAACAGCGACCGCCAGGTATCCTCCGTCCCGGCCCGCAGCAGGTGTCACACACCGCGAGAGGCAGATTGACCGTCCTGGACAACCGGTGCCAGTTATCACAGCTCCGTCTTCGCTTCATTTCCACATTATGGTCACCAGCAAACATTTTATTCTATTGCAACAAGACCCCGCATTGGCTAAATGCATGCATACATGAGACAAAATTACTTCTGATGGTGACCTAAACTGTTTCCATGAGGCGGTTTTTTTTGTTTATTTAGCTACTTCAGCTTTCACCAGCCAGAATTGGCTGGTCGCTTTGCGGCACAACAACAAAGTTCGCCAGATAATACAAAAACGCTGGGTCCACCCGAATGGCCTCAAACCCGTAACTCGCGAGACGGACCGTGAAACAGTTCGAGGATCAGCCTCACAGGAAGACGAGCGGTTTTTCATAGAATATATCTGGTGAACGGTGTGTGTAATCAGAAGAACTTGTGCTGAACGCATGACAACATGTCATCAGGGAGTCGTGAGCCGAGCTCGACACCAGCAGACCCGCGGAACACCAGACGACAGGTCACAGGCTCGAAGGACTTACCTCGCCGAGCTAGGAGCTGCACGCCAGGCCCCCGCCGCCTGCCCTGACCTGGCTGCGCCGCGGCGGAGATGGGCAGCGGCGAGAGGACAGGGGGAGGGGGTGATCTGGGGTGCCAGCTGCCGGCCATCTAGGGCCGGCCGCCCGAGGGGGGGGGGGACAAAGGGCCGACCCCAGTGTTTACCACTGGCTGCTGCCGCCCGCAGCCAGTCCCGGCAGGAGCAGGGCGAGGGGCAGGCTGGAGGCAGGGTGAGGTGCCGGCCGATTCCGAGAACAGCCACCCGCCGCGGCTCCGGTCTGGGTCCCTGGTGACGCTGCTGTGGCGGGCGGCAGCCGGCGCCACGACTACGGGAAAACAGGAGGCCAGATGGCCAGGGGGCTCCCAGCTCAGATGTCTCGCATGCGTTGTCTGTGACTGCGGGTCTCAGCTGGTATTGAGACTGCGATCAGGGGAGTAATGCCGAGTTAAGTCCGCAGTATTGCGGCCGAACTATGCTTGTTAGTTACAAAAATATGAGCATTTCACGCTGGTGAGCCTCATTCCTTAACGCTGGTTGCTAACGATCACCAGTTCTGAGCAAATCCTGCTCGCGATTGGTAACTGCCCCTGAACCAGTGCCAGAAATGCCTTGCATGAAATGTAGCAGACCAAGCGATGATAGGACTCAAGCGGCCAGGAGATGGCTGCAATGGAATGACGTTACTCTCACCATCGCTGACGCTTAATTTGGACGCCTTTTCGCATGGATGGTATTGTTTGAAACGATACCATATGACCCTATAATATATAATATCTATTTTGGCCTTCCATAATGGGCTTGTTCGTAAAGTTCAAACGTTTTGTCAATCATGTGTGCTGCTTTAAAGTCATATACTCACGAAATCCGAGCCTATCAGGTACCCCCACATGCCAGGCCAGTTCCGTGTCGTGCTGTCCATCCAATGGGGAGCTCAGATCCAAAAACGTGCTGCTTGGTTTGCTTGCCGCCCCCTGCTTTATACATGCAACTGAGATGCGATGCCATGAATACGTTTTATGTGACTATGGCCCTATTGAGCAATTGTCACTATCATTTAGACTAAGCGCACATTGAGTTCCGTGCGCCATTCTGTCCTATCGAGTGTAAGTTCACGCCAAGATACGAAGAGCGCCATCTCGTGTTGCTTGACGTTCAGGCTTGGCCTGAGAACCCGCGAACGTGGCCCGAATCACGGCATGGTGGAGCCATTCACGGCATGGTGGAGCCATTCACGGCATGGTGAAGCCGTTCAAGGCATGGTGAAGCCACTCACGATACAGTGAAGCTAAGACAGTCCACAGTACGATAAAGCAATTCACGGTATAGTGAAACCATTCACGGTATGATGAAGCCATTCATGGTGTGGTAAGACAGTGTACGGTATGGTGAAGCAATTCACGGTATGGAAAAGCAGTTCGCGGTATGGTGAGGCAGTAAACGGTACGGAAAAGCGGGTCACAGTATGGAAAAACAGTTCACGGTATGGTGAAGCAGTTAACGGTATGGTGAAGTAATCCGGACTCAACATCAACTGACGACATCGTGGTCACATTCGAACCATTAACAATGTTGCCAACAGACTCTTGGCCATCGTAAGCGTATCAAACAGATTGTATGCACCCGGTATCGGGATGCAGTGGCCGAACAGCTTTCTTCCGATAAACACGGGCTGTGTCACGCAGAAACCCATCGCAGCAGCTCGTATGCCTTGTACTGTTGCGATGGGTTGGATCGCATGGATCGATTGATTTGATCGCAAAAACTACGGTGCAGTTTTTGGCACTGGAACTGATCTTTGCTTGCGAATAGCAAACGATCTTTAATGATAAGGAATGTTCTCCGGCTTTAAGTCGTTTGATCATTACATACCTGACATATAGCAATACCCTTGTGTTGTTGGTCGCGGTGTTCAGAAGCATTGCTTGCCATTTTAATCGTCAAATTTGCTCGAATAGCCCTGTTGACAGGATTGGCAGTGATGCAGCAGGGATGGGTAACTAAGGACACCAAACGGCAGATTCCTGGTTCCAGAATCCAGAGCCATCCCGTGACATCCAGTTCACGAGATTTATCAAGGACCCCACCGACGGCGAGGGGTCGCACAAAGCGCTCAAACCCGCCGATGGGTGGCCGAATTGCCCAATCACATCCGGGCTACGATGGGCTCGACAACAGCGGCTCCGGCGCCCCATATACCGCCGAGGCAGGCATCGACCACGTAGGTCTACGGCACTGGCTTTAACCGGCTCCGGCGCCCCATATACCGTCGAGGTAGACATCGACCGCGCAGGTCTGCGGCGCTGGCTTTAACCGGCCGGCCACCAAAACGTCGCGTTCCGTGTAGACACCACACGAGCCTCAAGTGTTCAGCCTCCACCCGCTGAGTCCTTCCCGACGCCTTTGGTCGGCCTTTTCAGTCTCGTTCGTGGCGGAGAAAACTGCTGCGAGCACGGTGCTGCAGAAGGTGGGTGCGGCTGAGGGTGGTGGAAGTTTTCTCTTCTCTTCCGAGGGCTGCAAAAGACAGCACGCCACATTTAGATAGCATGCTCATGTCATGGTAAATCCAAAAGGTGTGGTGAAAGCAAGGCGGATTGGCTTTGCTGGGTGACTTATAAGGGAGGTGTTCTCGCGCGGGTTAGGTCTTAATCATATCTGTGTATTGCATGCTTTTAGCGTTTGCACTGATCAGGGTGAGGTGGAATAAGCCCGTAAGGATTTCTGAGAATATTTCTCTTGAATGCCGTGAAATGGTGTGTAAATTTTCAGTTGCCTCTGGGGCATCCACTGCACGTGTTTTGACACCAAGAAACAACTCCCTAACCCATCTGTTTCCGAGCAGCAACGTTTTTTTTTTTTGGAATACGGCACGGCGATCTCTGGACAGCGCGGGCGGCGGAAGGCAACACACGAATCTGACGGTCGCGCGCGGCAGGTCGACACTGTCACGTCAACGGAACCCGTCAGGGAAGCAGTTCCGCAAAATGGGTTAGGCTGTGGGTGTCAAGCCCTTGGTTCGATGGCACACACGATTAAACCAATCAATCGATCTATTCTTCTCCGCACACGTGCACACCGCGCCGACGACGGCGCATCCACTCCCCATACGACGACGAACGGGACCGGGGCAAGGTCAGGTTCGGTCCCGAACCGGGGCCGGGATGGCGGCTAGGGCTGGGGCTGTGTTGGACATGTAGGATGTGATTTTATCTTTGGCCAGACCACTTCGTGTTCGATGCTCCAACCAGCCTTGGTCATATCCCCTGTCAACCCGGTTCTGCCTAGCTCTGCAGATCACAGATCATATCACATCCTGACTTGATCTGATCTGTTCTGACCTGTCCAGCCTATCCTGCTCCAGCTCAGTGTAGTTCAGCCCCAAGTTCAGTCCATCTCCCATCCAGTCCAGCCTCAGGGCAGGCCAACTCCCTGTACAGTCAATCCACCAGCCCAGTCCGGGCCCCCAGTCCAATCTAGCACCCAGACCAGTCCAGTTCCCGGGCCAGTCCAGCCCTCAGTTCAGTACATCCTATGCATGGGATGTTTTGCATGTAGTATGGCATCATCATGTTTGACTGATACCGTTCAGGGACGGAAGACCCTGAGATTAACAATCGTCACTCCGTTGCAGGAGCGCCTCTGTTACGCGCTGGCTGCTGTTGCCGTCCAGAGAAGAACCGGCACAGGGCGCTAGTTGGCAGCCTTCCCCTGCCGGCGGGCGGCTGTCACCAAGCACAGGAGCGCCTTCCGTGGACAACGCCCAATGCAGAAGTGATGCCGTTGAATGCCGGCGGGTCGCCGTCGCCTAGAGAAGGGTTGTCATTGTCAAGTCTTTGGTTCGTTGGCACATACGATTAAACCAATCAAGCGATGTATTCTTCTCCGGACACGTGCAAAACCGCGCCAACTTGGCGCATCCACTCCCCACAGACAAGGTTGCCGTAAGGAGCAAATCGAACGACAGGGTGGGCTGCCCACACGTGACGTCACAAAACCCGAGCACGAACACCACACCTCCCCCGGGTCGATCGGTAGGTCTTCGTCTTCGGGTCGACCTCTAGCCTCTCCGGCTCTCTCCGATGACGGTTGCCTCGACGCAGCGCCGCCGTCCTGGGTTGGTCAGCAAATCGCACCTTCTTTGGAGCTGCTTTCGGTGCGACGTCACTGCGTGCGGCGCCGAATCGCCCTGCGTGACGTAAACGAGCCGGTACATACCAATGAACCGCCGGTTCCGCCACATGGTGCGACCGC